CTTTAATACAGTAATTCTTTGTGCAGGTTAATGTGTGTTCCAATTGTGTCTGGTGACCATGTAAATATAAATAATTACAATATAATAAACATCGATTGAGTTTTAAAATAAATATTCATTTAATATTAATATTTTATTTTTCAAAGTAGGTAAAGAAGCTCCCATGGGTCTTGCAACAAAGATAAATTAAAGCATTTTATTGTCAAAAATGTGATGGTGCTTAGTCCATCTTTATCAAGAGTGAGCTCCGTTGACACATTGACAATAAAATGCTGATGCTTTAACTGTAGAGTTCTTCTATACCTACTTTGGATTTGTATGGATAGTTTTGTGGATGAGCAGCTGGCCACTTATCTTACAAATAGAGTATGGTGGCTACCTTTTATTTTGCTCATATCTTACTCTTTAGGCTGAGATGATTAGAGGTTACCTGAATCCAAAATGTCTTGCTTCATGACCTCACTCTGTACCCATTCAGGAACGTCTTTGTGTAAGGACAGACAGTTGGTATGGCAGCAACTTCAGCTGGTCTAAGAAACAATTGACATCTATGGAGAGTGGATGGGGGCCAAGATAAAAGCAGGAGCTGGTGTATTAATAGCCAAAAAATAATGATAGGTTTCCCACCTGTCTGATAAACTGTCCACCCAGCAGTGGGCAGCTGGCCAGCAAAGGGGACTCTCACAGTCCAATACCCAATGCAACACTTGAACAGGGGTCATTCCATCCCTGGGTGCATGTTTGTAGGTGAAATCAACTGCTTTCAACATATAGAGTTATTTATTTTTTTATGACACATTTTTTAAACATGTTGGAAAAAATTGGAGAGACCAAGCCTGTCCTTGCCTCTTTGTAAACTGCAGATGTGCTGCCGCTCATCAGAAAAGTACAGTGGCGGGGGGCCAATGTGATCAAGGTTTGGCAGATCTTTCTCTGCCTGTCAGTCTACAAACTAAAAAAGGCTAAGCACTGGTCCTGCATTTTTGAATCCCTATGTGTTTGATTGTTAGAAGGTACGAGAAGCTAATAAACCGTACACATTTTCTTATTCTGTAAGAAATAAAGATAACATTTAATGTTTAATAAAAGTATTAATAGAAACGTGTTATTTCTAAGTTGCCTAATAACCAGTAATTAGGAATATATTACCTTGTTTCACAGTGGTCTTTTGGGACCAGTAAGCAGCTGACATTGCATTTTTTTTATGTCCAACCCATTTCAGTGTTTTTCCAGGATGCCAGAGAGCAAATGGCATGTGCTATATCAATGGCACGACTTGTGAAAAATCAGGAGTGATCGCAAACATTGCTAAATTGACTCTGATGGAAGGCTGTATATTTATTTTACACAGAATAGTGGCCCTCCAGAGCGAGTCCCGCACCTGTGTTTACATTAGTCATCATGCCGTCTAAAATCACATCAAATTAAATGTAGCTTTTAATCTTTCACACAGTTTATGGTTAAATGCTTAGTTCATATAATAAAATAAGGAAAGTTATTTGTGATATGTTATAATATTGGTCTAGGAGGAGACATGTCCAGCTCTAATAAAACCCAGTGGTTAGGGTAGCTCTGTAAAGTGTTCTAAGTGAGCATATGGTGATGGCACCTACCAAGTTATTTTGTGTATGAAAGTATATGGATGTAAAAATGTATGAATGTAAATTGGCTTAGTATACACTCACACTCCTAAACAAATGCTGATATTGAACATCATGCACTGTCTGTCCTTCTCTTGCCTTTGTATTCCCATTAACCTTCATTAATATGTTTGAATGCCCCTTACCATCAGAGCCATGAGGAATCCCATGGGAAGTCATCAGGCTCAGTATGCACATCTGTGGTCAAGGCTTAAAAGTCCACATCAGATATACTGATGGCTGAACTAACCTTAAGGAGACCTCTGCCATTGCTGACCACTGTCCAAGAATACTATTTGCCTGGCTGCCTGTGACATCAATACTTTTGGAGTACAAACTACTGATCTTGCATCAAAATGCTAAGTCGACTTAACCTTTAGACCCCAGCCTCCATGTAGAAATGCAGAATTAAGAATTCTAAAAAGAAAAATAATCACACAGAATAAGAGTGAAAAATATACTTAACGTGCATACCAGCTTCTGCCTGCGGCGCCTAGGTGAGGGTGACATAATGGCCCTTCTGGCACCATCCTGAAAAAGCTAAGGATTCCAAAATTCACTAGAAAAGGCTTCAACACAGTGATAAAGCATCTTTGTTTATGAATTGCTTGTGTTTATAATCCCCCAAAATACCCTACAGTGCTGAATTATTGACCATTATCGGTTGTTTTATTGGTTGCTCAGAAAAGGAATTTGAACTGCACAACTTCCCTATCTGATCATCATCTGTTCATTGGGTGAGATGGTAAATGTAGTTCTATTGTGACCATATCTACTCATGTTTAATGCCATCATGTAACATTCCTGCATGCTGCAAGATTCATCTTCTTGGTATCTTCATTATTTTTTATTTTATAAGTAATAAAATACTCAGATATCTCTTGTATATGATCTCTACATTGTTGCTGAACATTAGCATGCCTAGTTCATGGTTTTGTTCCAGAGATATACAGTTTTGACCTATTTCTCACATTGAACACACAAGTAAAAGTTAATGACAAGTACTAGTATTCATGTATATATTCCAAGTTCACAATCTTTCCACTATAGCGCAACTTTGTTTCTAAATTCCACTATATTAGCGGTTAATTAATGAATGACTTAATGCAAACTGTCAGCAATCTGCAAGAATGAAATATGAGGCAAAATAGAACATATTTGGCAGCTCCAGTTGGCTTCCTCCCTCTCACTGTAATATATCATGGTGTACATGCATGGAATAATTTCATCAGAATTCTAATTAAACAGTTCTCGTAAATTACTCTGCATTGCTTCAAGGTGATTCTGTATACAAATGAGCTTCCTGCTCATCTTCTTTCACCAATAGTGGATTTTGTCAAACAGAAACCAGAATTGCTTCATGTGCTTGTCTGATTTCAGCAACAATTCACAAGGACTGGTATTGGTCCAGTCATCCACCTCCTTTAATTTTCAAATCTACATTAAAACAGCTAAAATTTGACTGTTTGCAATGGAAAACATGGGCTATCCTGTTTTTGGAGAACTGAGACTTACTCCTTCTTTCTCTTACATATGTACACTTTTAATACATTTTAGGGATTGTGAAAATGAAGATAATTTGGCATCTGGCAAGCATCACTAACAGGCCTTCTACTAACTCACTATATTGTAGACAAATGGTCCAATGGATTCCTTAGCATTTTACAATAGGGTATACTGTAAACTTGCATATTGTCTGGGGCTTTAAGCACTAACGCTGGCCATACATTTAGATTTTTGTTCAAATGTTCATTAAAAATGGTTCATCAGATCATTCGATCTTGCCATCTTTGAGTCAACCAATTTCGTTCAAATAGACCTTAAAATGTAATCCATACCTGCAACTCGAATAGAATTACAGATCTATTGAACATGTTTCTTTTGTGCTTAGCACAAACACATTACAATATTTACTATTTTCTTTCCAAACGTAAATCACGTTCACAGCCTCAAAGCTGGCAGGCGCCGGCAGTATATAAAATACTCATCGCCAACAAACTTTGCTCATGTTCATGAAAAATAATTAAATAAATAAAAATAGTAGTCAACAAAAACAAACGTTTTGGGGCCCCGAAGTCTTTGCCCTGATACAATATTGGTTTGTATCCTTTTTAGGCTCCATTCACACATTGACACGTGAAACGCTGCAAAAAGTAGTGCACAATTTTCTGGGTGATTTCAGCTCGTTCCATCCCCAAAAGACTGTGGTTGTAGCCACAAATGCATGGAAAAATGTGTGTCTATTAAAAAAACATTTTTCATACCCCTGTATGTTACGGTCTCTGAGGAAATTGTCCAAATGCTTTTTGAATGATTCAACACTCTCCGCTGATACCACTGCTTGTGGCAGCAAGTTCCAGACCCTAACCGCTCTATCTGAGAAGAAGCCCCTACGCCCCTTGTGCTTAAATCTTTTTTCCACCAGTTTTAGGTGGTGGTCTCTAGTCTTTGTCAAAATGATACATGTGAATGGAACCTTATGATTACAGACCCTCAATGTATGGCCAACTATGTTCTCATACCCCCTTTGCCATACTTTTATAATCATTTAGGTACCACCATGACTACAGAAGATGTGAGTTTAATTGTATATTTGAATAGCTTGCAACAGAACAACTAAAGGAAAAATCATAATGCTAAAAACAGAAAAACACACATAAGTTATCTAAACCTAGCGATATTATTGCTGTCGACTTTGTGATATTAATACATAGACTTGAGGTGCAGTTACTGACGCGTCATCTGGCACACATCATCTGGCACATCAAGTCAATTTTCCACTTTGATTTCAGGTTCAATAATGCAAGGAATCTTTAAGTATTCAGAGATCCTCAGAGGTTCTAAACCCCCATCAGGTGTTCCCCATACCCTCAATGAGTATGGAAACCCCTGGTCAGGCCCCCCTGTTATAGAACATCAGGTTTGTTATTGGTGTTTCCATTTCCTTTTACATGCATCTCTCAGACACCTTTGTAGCAGTCCATCAGATTGAACAGGCTCTGAAATGTCCATGTGCTCATGCTTTTAAATATTTTTATTTCCTATACCAGTAACAAGAATCAACATGCCAGTTTAAGTAATGTTTAGCATGGACTGCAGGACAGAGACAAATTTGTCCCAGGATTTCCACTGTGAATGTTAGCTAGTATTATGTAGGGGGTTTCCATAAAAGACCACAACTGCATATTCCATGCGCCAAATAAAATATGTATTTTATCTTACTGACATGCCAATTTTTGTTCCAGGAATGAACTATTAAATTAAAAAGACACATAGATGGCAGTTATGTCAAAAATCTTAATTGCCCTGCTAGAAGAATGTTTGAGTTGTGCTAATATACATTTTATTTTCTCTTAACAGTTTTGAGAGACGACTTCAGACAAAACCCTGTAGATGTGATGGTGGCAGTGGGAGAACCAGCCGTTCTGGAATGTCAGCCTCCTCGGGGTCATCCTGAGCCAACAATATCATGGAGAAAAGATGGGACACCAATTAACGACAAGGATGAAAGAATAACAGTAAGTAATACAGTCTGTGTGCTTGGGTTTTATTGTCTCAGTTTTTTTTGGAAAGGGTGAATGTAATGACTTATATTGAAAGCATATATACCCAATTATCCAGTTTTCTGCTGGAGAAATCCTAGTGCAGTACATACTCCTGGAGCGAGTTCATGCCTCTACCTGGGTGTTTAAGACTTTCTTACAGATAAAAGCTGAGAAGGGCATACAGAGAAATTGTAGGAGCAGGCCATAGCCACAACATTTTATTATACCACTAATAGTTTAACTGATCATGGCCACAGATGTGCAATACATTTAAAGAGACTCTGGCATAAAAAAATAGCAGGAAAGAAAAATGAAAACACAACACAAATCAAATATTATAAATGCTTACTCACAGTGTTTTCCCTATTCCGAAATTATACTTTTATTGACTTTCAATGTGGCTTAGAACTAGAGCTAGAAAATTGTACTACTCCAGAAAAAGTCAGTTCCCTAGCACAGCCCCCTCGCTTCTTACATGCCATAGCTGCCTCCTCTGCTGGGAATGTCTATTTACTTTCTGTGCTGGTCCAGCTCCTCCACCCCTCCTCTCATCTCCCTACATAATCTTTTATGTAGCTGACAGGAGAGAAGTGACGGGGAATAATATAGAGTGCCACTAGAGTCACAGCTCTGAGTTTGCTGGGGCTGCTGACATTACATCCAACATGGTGGTGTTCCATCAAAGTTTGTGACTACGTTGGAATCTGTGACCACCAATAGGTCAAGAATTACAACACTTTGTCAGCTGTACCAGGGCAGATCGGCATTGCAGATCGTATGTGCAGGAGAACCAATCTGCCCTGGAACAGCTGATCGGTCCTGAAATGCCACTTCTATCTGACTTTGTGGAATGTGAGATATCACTCACAAAGTTGGATAGAAGTGACATTTGAGGACCATGTGAGCAGTCACACATTCCACAGCTGTAAAACTGGGCAGGATTACGTTAAAATGTGTGATTGATCATGTCACCGGTCACAAATTCTAACATAGTCACAGACTTTGATAGAACACCGGCACCAACAACAGTCTCTTTTGGATGTCTACAATAGGTAAAGGTAAAAAACATGCATAAAATGCATATATATATATATATATGCTCTAATGCTCACTTGGAAATATAAAACACTACTTGTTGAAAGCTTATTAAAAGCAATGCAATTGCCAAGTGTACTGTGCACATATTATCATTTGTGTGTGTGAGTAACAATAATGCATTTTGTTGCACTGCCATTGTCATCAGTAGGCCCTATAATGTGCCTTGATGCATCAATAAACTGACAGCACACATCAAAGCACCACACACATGTAAACTAGCATAATTTGAAACAATGACTAACATGTTTATATGCATTTAGGTGTGTTATAATGTAAGTGTGAATTCACTGTGGATCAGTTCGTCCTCAAAGTTTATAGCAGTGAATACTGAAAAATGGCCTGGATGGGAAGGGGGTTTAACACCGCGGATGTCAACTGGTTAAAGTAGTCCCCCAGGTCCTCTCAGCAGCTCAGTTTACTCTGCACCCCATTTCAGAAAACATACCCTGTGTTTACAGACTAGAAGGCTGCCTAGTCACTGCTTGGAGGGGAAGTGGGATGAGCTCAGCTATTGAGAGAAAGACATATATAATATAAATGCTTCTGCTGTGAATTTGTTGAATTAATTGATCCACAGTGCCTGCTCCTACAGAGGTTGGTAATGACGTGTTTGAAAACGTATTTATTGCGTCTTCAAAATCTGTAAATATTTGAATGCCCTACGCATGACCATAGTTGCACTTAAAGTTATTGTAATAATGTTTACCTAAATATTTGATTGTATATCTTTCACATTTTTCACCCTTGGTATACTATATTTTGATTACTGCATTTCATGAACAGGTTTGTAGATTCTAGCTCTAGTGACTAACTAGATTCACATTAACAACTTAAATATAAGATCCAGAAGTGCCTGTATGAAAATGAATGGATGACCTAAAGTTAATCTGAAATGTTTTTTTATTGTTCCACCCCCTTTCCAAACCTCTGCATAAAGGGGTCCTCAGTATAATGTAACCCTGCAGAGTTCAACCTATTCACTGCCCATCCTGTCTGGGTCCGACTAACTATTAACCAGTCGGGTCACTTTGTAGTTCCCCAAGAATGATATGGAAGTTATATTTGTAGAATGTGTACTGTCATTTGTATATATTGTTGAGTGTGAAAGCATCAGACATTTCTTTTTTATTTTATTGACTTACAGTATTTAGTAGCAGAGGAACTGTCAAATCCACAAAACTGGTTACTAACAGTCCATTAGTCATCATTTTATGAGGTTTATGGTAAAAAATAATATTTTAAAGGGATATTTGTAGGTAATCACAGCATTACAAACAATATTCCAACCCTATGCTTCATTTTTGCAAACAATTTCCCAGTCTGCAAGTGATGCAGTTATATTGGAAAATGTGTAAGTGTGCTGATTTGTTGATAAGTATTTTTGATTATACGGAAACAGTGCTTCAAGATGTTGATCCATATGCTTTGGAAATTGCAGACTCTAATACTGTGCTTTTTTGCTTGCACCATCTGTCTTGGAATTACAAACAGCATTACTTCATTTTGCTGATAAGGGACAAGTCACCGATTTGGAGTTTCTCAATCATTTTAATTAGAATATGCGCTGCTTGGGGAATCCGGTGACTTTTACTGCTATCTATATATATCACATAACAGCTGAACAGAGCACTAATTCATAAATGCATAACCCAATGCAACAGTCCAGAGCTGAAGGGGACTAGACTCCCCAAAATCGAGTAATTATTTACATCTTACTTGCCCCCTATGGATTGAAGCGAAATGGCTACTTTCACCCTGGTGAACTGGTAACCATTGCCATTACATAGATCGATACTGATTGAAAAAATAATAAATACAAAACAAGAATAAATAGCAGTGAAAACATGTGAACTACACCATGGGGATACCCCATGATTACACAGCTCAGCCATGACAGTGTTTCTCTATAGAATCAGTCATTGGGGAACCAGAGACTTTATAGCACAATTGTGGTGTACTGGGCTTCTTAAAGGGAAATTACACCTTTTAAAAAAATAAATAAATAATGCACTCTTTTTCATAAAAGAAAACAATTTTTTCCCTGCAAAGCAGCAGTAGAGCAGGGGATCATGGGTGCAATGCTCTGGCTCCTGCAGACTCTACCCCCCATCCATGTCTATACCAATATTCAGTAACATGGACTGAAGAAAGTGTCAATGGACTACAAGTATGGTGACATGACTGCACTTCTGTTCCATTCAGAACTACAAGTCCCTCTTTGGTGGTGCCTGATGGGGCTTGTATTTTTTCAATTAACAGATCCTGTCAATGCATCTGTGCATGGATGATGCAAGCTGTGTCGGCAGAGCCAAGCACAGCCATGCTGAATTAGAAAATGTAAACAAGCATGGGGGTGTACCATGAAACATGGTCAGAAAGGTAAACTAAGCCTTTAAAGTGGAACTCCAGGGACAGATGTCTTTACAAATTCTAAAGTGTAAAAAAAAAAATTACTTCTGGGCGGCTTTGTTATCTGTGCAGATCACTTATATTTACACTGCAGTTCATACATTTGTATGTGCTACAGCTATGACCTGAGCTGCAGCTCTCATACTCTGAAGGATTCAGGTTGCCTTATCACCCCCCTTCCCCTTTTCTAGTCACATAGTGCCTTGATTTCTGTGAATGGTTCATAGAATACAAGGCGTTCTCTGAATGAATAGACAATACAATCACTTTACTGTATGAGAGCCACAGCTTTTATAGTCACAGTGCCAGAAGTATTAACCAGCACACATAAATCGATGGATTGTAATTTATTTGTAGTAGGAGTAACATGCAGAAACAGACAAATAAAACATCAGACGTCAAGAAATCCTTATCTATTTCTAAACTATTTTAAATACATACATTAGAAAGAAAGTTGATTCTCCTATATACCCAGAAATACAATAAAGTAAAATGACAGGCAAATTAAATAGCTGTGACATTTTATAAATAAGTACAAAAGGGTAAAACTTTAAAAAAGCAACTAAAAATGGTAATATTCATATTTTATCCCTTTACAAATACACATTAAGCTATACGTAATGCCTAAACATCACATTAGCAATGTTCTAGGGTTTTGTTTTTTTTTTGTGTAAAACACACATGTACTCTTTCATATTTTTTTGTTGTTTTTCATTGCTTCCAACTTTTGTTCACACAAGAATCTGAATAATTAGCCCTAAATTAGTTTAACCATGTATGTCCATTTATAAAAGGTTTATAGTACTAATATGTGTGTATGTACAGTATATGTATGTACTGTATGTGAGATAGGGACCTTAGATTGTAAGCGCCTTGAGGGCAGGGACTGATGGGAATGTACAATATATGAACCACTGCGTAAATTGTCGGTGATATATAAATATGTGTAATACAAATATTTGACTGTTTATTTCGTTTTACTTACTTTTCCTGACCCTGACACGTAAGCGTGTTTTAGGGGTCAGAGGATGCTAAAAATCTGACATCTGCTGTCTGTAAACTGCCAAGACCAGAGGGATGAACTAGAAAAAATTCCCCCTATCCATGCTATCAGCCACCGACCACCCCATCTCTGGTATTTTAACAGCGGCAGATGTGTCCGAATACCCGAATAGTATATTCAACTGATTGGCTGCAGTCAGCTGAGAATTTTCAGACCGACTCCTTTGTCAGAAGTCGATAAAAAAATTGATGCCCCCTAACGGGGCCACACACTGGCCAAATTTTGACCTAGTCAGCAAGACTGTGTGGCCAGATTTACACTCAACACTCAACAGACCACAAAATGGGTTGGCCATGAAATACTAGTAGTAGGGCCATGGCAGAGAAAGCGTTAAACAGTTAAAAAGCACCATTGAGATTAATTTTAGCAATATTATGGGATAGTTGACAGACACTCTATAGGT